ACATGTTTAGTGTTTTCTGGCATTATTGATTTTAAACTCTCACAACATCCTCATCTTCGCAACGTTAAACTGATGTGAAGACCTTACAAGAGAGGACTAAGTAAGCTCTATGTTCTTCACCATTTTGCAGGGGTGAGATTTTTTCAAGTTCTAAAGGATGGGAAGCTGAAAGGGGGTTCATTTCCCAGACCTCCCTATCTTGGCTTAAGAAGTGAACTTGGAAAGGTGATGAAAAGTGTGTTTACAGGAGACGAAAAGCCCATCTTCCTTCTAGGTCTATGGGAAAGTCCCATTCCTATTGGTATCAAGGCTCAGACAAACTCGCCAGACTGCAGTCCAAACTGGAGGACCTTTCTAGTTGATCACTCTGTTGTACCTGTGGAAAGCAGGACCACCTTTCTCTGTTCCTTTCTAGTTATTCTACAGAGAAAGGGTTTCTAGGCATGTGATGATAATTAATCTAGTCTCATCCTGAAGATTAAAAGGAATCCTTAACATTACATTCAGGTGTGACTAAGTACCTAGCTGGAGGAAAAAATTTTTCTCTTTGTTCAGAATTGAGGCTTATTGCAACACTATTTATATGTGTATTTTCTCCCAAACAATAAGTTAATTTGAATCAAATACTATGCGTTTCATAACTTGGGGAAATTTGACTTAGTGATGTGAGCCACTGACCTGGTTTTGGAAAAATCCATAGAAACATCTGGTGCTGTGAATGAAAAGACACTCATAAAATGAGCACTTGTTTTTTCCAATGCCTGTTGTAAACCACATTTATTATTGCTATGTTAAATGATTATATGTCTTGAGGTTTACTCTAGCTCCTGCCTACCAGGAACTTTGGAAATGAGTATACTATAAGCCACCTGAATTACAGCACTGTCACCAAAGCTGTTGAGCATTTAATAAAAATGCAGAATTGCCTTGATGACTTTAAAAAACATAGACACAGATATTGACTAAGCATTCGCAGAATTCCTGAATATCTCCCTGTATGGAGGCATCACCCAGTGCACAGATAAGTTGAGCTGTTCCATATGCAAGCTGTCTGTTTGGTTTTTGTCTTCTCTGTTTATAGATTGTTAGTACCAGGTAGAGAAAGCAAAAATTGGAATAGACAAGGAATACAAGTATCTTTTGGGTGTTTAGAAATGGTGATAGGCATGGATGTGGTACCTGTGACGCTTGTCACTTTTTGTCTGGCAAGCTAACTTTTGATGGTATGTCATCCACAGGATGATAGCCATATTGTTTAATGCCTATTATGAATATAAATGTTATGGGACAACCTAGCCCATAAAGAGGCCAATTAACCCAGCTGTGCCCGAACAGGCTCTAAGATTTCCTGAAACAAGTGAAAGAAACCAGTCAGTCTCTTGTTTTCATTCACCATAAATTCACAAACTGGTGCAGCATGATTTATTTGGATCTAAACTTCAAAATGACAGGTTTTTAAATAAAGGTCCATTTGTTCTAATGTATTAGAAAGAGCATGCAGGCCCTTCTCTTAGATGATGATGAGATCGTGGCATAAGCACTACAAACAAGAGTGTCAGTCAGCCTCATAAACGAGTGAGTGAACAGCATCAGGGAGGTTCAAAACGATGCCTTGGATGATGGTCTTTTGTTTAAAGGGATCTTGTAACTAAGAGGCTCTTCTTGAATATTTCCCAGATACACCTGAAATCTATTGCGTAACTGAGGACCTCAACAAAAATACCTTAAGTTCAACTGCTGTGTGAAAAGTATATTTGTTGGAGAATCCAAATGCAATAGTTACCAAAGGGTACTACTATCATGCTTAAAATATATATATATATATATATATATATAATTTCATTTCTTTGTACAGAGAACCTTGGGGTTCATCCCCACAGCCCCCAGAGAAAAACCAAGAAAACGAGGACAGCCACAGAATGAGCTCTTGATCCTGGGACAAAAACTGAGGGAAAAGTCTAACAAATGCATCGTTTTGCAGTAAATTAGATCAGATTTCCGCATCTCCGCACTCAGTCTGTGAGCTGACAGTTCTGTAAAATGCTCCCTTGTAAGGTTCGCCCTCCTAGGAAAAGGGGCAATAATTCATCATTAGGATTTCAGAGTCCAGGTGTAGATGGAAACTGATGGAGCCTCCAGCGAGGCAAGGAATGTGCACGGGAGAAGAAAATTTTATCTGAAGCCTAATCCCCTGGTTACAGCAGAGAATAATTAAGATAATATTGCTTCAAGAGTGCTTTAATGATTAAAAATCACATATGCAGAATCCATAAATTGGGGGGCAACAAATTGGAAGGCTACAACGCCAGAGAGCTGTTTTGTGCACATTGTCATGGAAAGTGTACTGGTGGCAGAACGCTGTACAGAAGCCACCAGAGACTGGGACCATTCCAAGGACTTTGTTTAGATGCAACAAATCATTTGTCTGTTATTAACCCAGAGCTTGTAATTATGCAGATTGCCATAGATTTTCCTGGGCCTGGAAGTGAGATTGAGGGTTGCTCACAGTATAGCAGGCAGCTCAGGGCTGGCCATGCATTACTGAACTTGCCACATTTATCATGTTGACTGATGGCAGCAGAAGCAGGTCTCAGGTCCCAGTGGTTAATGTAGTGGGTAATTAACTGTCATTTGCCTAGTAATAGGCTGATGATCAATGGTTTGTGTGGAAACAAATTCTAATCAGGTAGCTGATAAATGCTCAGCTAGCAAGAGCAATTGAAATTGGGGGAAACTATGTCCAGAATTTCAAAATGGTATTGTATGCGTGTGTGTGTGTGTGTGTGTGTGTGTGTGTGTGTGTGTTTATTAGGTGTGAGGAAATCTGAGTAATTCCTAATAATACCCTTATCTCATATTAGTAAGATTTTATATGCAAAAACATAGTGATATGCATATAATAGAAACTCTCCGAGTTTCTTTATTTCTTAAAAATACAAGGGAACAGAAGCCACAAATTACACATGTTAGTAATGTGTGACCTCTGAATAAATGATATGAAGTATACTCAGAGGTAAATGTGCCATGATACAAGGAACTAGGACTTCTGCCCAGAAAAGAATGAGATGAAGCCAGGCATGGTGGTAGACAGCTGTGATCCAAGCACTCAGGAGGCTGAGACCTGAGGACTGGGAGTTCAAGACCAGCCTGAGCCCCATAATGAAACGCATCACACAGAAAGAAAAATCAAAAAGCGAAAGGGAAAAGATCAAAGCTTTGCTTTGTGCTGGTTTCATTTTTAATGATGCTGGGAGTAGACCCACAGCATTTCATTGTTCCATGAAGTCCTTTTTAAAGGAAACCTGTTTTTGAAGACGTGAATTGTGAACGGTGACTGTAAGGATTATGCCAGATACCTTCTATCACCCCGGCTGGTCTTGAACTTACTATGTAGGTGAGGCTGACCATGAACTCCTGATCCTTCTGCCTCCACCTCCCAAGAATGCTGGGAATATAGGTGTGTGCATCCAGCAAGATGAGCATTTAAAAATTTAAACAGTATTTAAGGAAGATAAGGATTTATGCATCTTGAATGTAATCTTGTTGCAAAGCCTGTTAGCTTCTGTAGCTGGTGCCCAAGCAACGCTGGGAAGCCCTTTAGGAGGTGTTTGCTGTTTCTTCCTCAAGAGGCTAGTGTTTTTGAAGAAAGAGCCTAATAAAAACAGGCACATGAGAATCTGTGCCACATTTTGTCAGACTCTCGGGCATCGCTGTGACAACCCTGTCCAAGTGTCACCGTTAGTTCCATAACAGGAAATGGTTATAAATTGAAAATGGATATGCTCACCTTAAGCAAGGACCTTTGGAGTTTAGAGGAAGGGACGAGTTTCAGGCATGTTTGTGTATAATCCTAAAATTCAATACAATGAAAGGCTGAGACTTTGGGTAGTGCTTTTTTATAACCAAAACAAGCTTTCTCCATAGCACCTTTGAATTCATTAGTTTCGAACTGCTTTTAATTTCATCCTTCCCAGGAGAACCATTATATTTTTTCTGCCGTCAGCCTGATGCTGGAGAAAAAAGAAAGCTGGCAGATGGGCTGTTTTTCTCTGAGCTCATTCCCTAGTTTTAAAAAAGTCCTTAACCACTGTGCACAAAATATTGTTCATAATAGCTTTTCACCACCATTTACAACTTTAAAGAAACTTGCTTTAAATACTACCAATGCAGATAGAAAAAACATTCTGTCCTCATCTCATACCATGTTAAGACCCTTTTGGTACTGATTTGTAAGTCTTATCAAATAAGAGATGTATGTGCAGATGTGTGTGTGTGTGTGTGTGCATGCGTGCGTGCGTGTGTGTGTGTGTGTGTGTGTGTGTGTGTGTGTGTACATTTTCCCAGATTATTGCATTAACTTTGATAGTATACTTCAGCTCAGCTCCTGAACTGGCTGTGTACAGCTCATAGCCTCATTTACTGGAATGTCTTACCTGAAGTACATAATCACAGCTGTAACTGTTCTATAGGGCCGGAACATGCACGCACCTCCGTATGTTAGAATGACTTAAGTGGCTTGTTCATAGGTGCTCTTTAATGTCATTGGCGAGCCTTTTAGTAATTAGATGTCAAAGAGGAGCGCATCAGACACACAGGGCTCTTTTTCACTAAAATGCTACCATGTAACATTAAGGTCTGATTATACTGCTTTTATATTGATACTCCAGCAAGCAAGCGGTTTTTGTTTGTTTGGTTTTGTTTTGGTTTTGGTTTTTTTTGTTTGTTTAGCAAATTTACCCCATTGACTTCTGTTTGTTGCAGATGTGTAAACATCCTAATGTGTTTGTCTTTTCCTTTCCTCTTAAAATGAGGTGCAATTTTCATCTGGAGAGGTCAAGGTAGGATGTATTGTGGAAAAATACGTATTCAGCTCAGATAAAACTCATCTATAAACATCATAAGGCATTGTGTATGGATGGCTTCAAAGCATGGATTCACAGCTTCTCAGGTTGCAAACCCAGGTTTTCCTAAGTTGAAAAAGAAAATGTTTATTGTTCTAGGCTGTTTGGTGTAACGGGAAACTGCGCTGCCTGTAGCAAGCTCATCCCTGCCTTTGAGATGGTGATGCGTGCCAAGGATAATGTGTACCACCTGGACTGCTTTGCCTGTCAGCTTTGCAACCAGAGGTGAGTACGTTTAGTACATTTAATTTGACCTCCCCAAACGATGCCACTCACTAGGCTGGGTATTGATTTAATAGGTGGGAATGATCACAGTCCACTTTGTTAGGCCAATTAATCTCAACATTCTGGGGTTCTGCAAATGGACACTCAATACCAGAAACAAACCACTGCAGAGAGAGCTCTTTAGACTAGCTTCAGAAGAAGGTGTTATGTGACAGCAGCTGGACACAGAAATACTTCTACTGACTTCAAGATCCATCATTCCAGAATCTGTCCTCTTGACTTCTTCACATGTGCTGTGGCAGGCACACACACACACACACACACACACACACACACACCTCCACCTTTTACCTATCATGTGATTCTTTTAGAAACAAAGAATTGATAACAAGAAGTTTGGTTTCATCTTGTTTGTGTTTCTCAATTTCCCATTTATTGGCTTCTGTGAAATTCTAAGCATGATCTCTATACACTCTTAGCTACCTCCAATCTCTTTGAGAAGGAAGACACATAAAGCTAATACTTAAATAATTATCAGCATTGTAAAGACAACAAAGGAAAGAATATTGCACAGATGTCTAGAAAGCTAAGTTGTAGCCTGGCTTCTGCTACAAACTGACTATGCAATCTTGAGATAACTACATCATCTCTCTAGATCCAGTTTCTACATTTGTAACACTTGATTAATCAATTTCAAAACTCTTTCAAACAAAAAGTATAACAAATCCTTTACTTTTTCTTTATCAAAAATTATACCACTCCATGGAACTTACTCTATGGCTACACCCTGTTCTGCATAGGCAATACAGATTTTGGAATATTATAAATATGCTGGTTCACACAGTTAATCTCAGTATTTCAGAGGTAGAGGAATGCAGATCTCTGTGAGTTCAAGATGTGTCTGGTCTACATAGAAAGTTTTAAGGCAGTTGGTGCTACATTGTGAGACACTGTCTCAAAAAGCAAACAAACAAACAAACAGAAAAATGGCAAAACAATGCATATAAAAACTACAGTATTGAAAATTATAAAACCCTTGCTAGAATTCGAGAATATATAGCATCTCTGGGAAAATGTCCATATAGTGTGTCGTCAATGAATATTGCTTTGGGTTCTCAATTTACATAACTTTCTCTAGAAAGTCCTGGTTGACTCAAAGTCTCTTCATGAGGCCCTATGAAATATTAGGAAATGATGTTTGTGGTGAAAAGAGATTCAAAACCTGGCCCCACCATGTATTGGCTAAATTATTAGCTTTGTGTTTTTTAATATGTTATTTAATATCTCTAAGTTGCTACAATTTTGTGTCAACAAAATAGAAAAACAAATGCTTGTCTTGCAAAGTATGGAAGTTAAGTAAAATAATTTTCACTAAATGTTGAATACTTTTTTCAAAAATCATTCCTTCTATATTTATATTTTACCCTGTCCAAATTATACCCCAATGACTTGGTATTTCTATAAAATTGATAACTCAATAGAGTCTCTTGCCAAATTTTGGAGTTTAGAATATTGCCTACTGTAATTCAACATATTGCCAAGGCAGTAACCTAGGTACCTTCAAGGGTCCTGATTCTTCCAGACAAATGTTTTATGTCAACAAAGACATCAGTTGAAGGTGATGCTTAGCCTACAACAAACTAACAAACTCACATGCTACCTTTTATAAAAATATGGAAACATACAAGTACAAACACCCACACATCCATTCAGACACACATGTATGCACTTGAACGTGTTAAAGGCATGTTAGCCACACTGGTAGAATACCTCTGTTCACTTGACAGGTTGATTCAATGATGGTGGGAGCAATAACAAGCAACCCAAAAGAAGCATCTTCTACATCTGCTCTACTCAGAAGAGCTTACATATTTCCAGAAGAAAATTTAACAATGAGAAACAACTCCAGCCTTCACTATCCAAAAAGAAACCAGTGTTTTAGTATATAGCTACCCATGATTTTTTCCTATGTGTACATGATAAGCTGTGTGTAACTTTTCAATATATGCTGATGTTTAATCAGAATAAAAGATAGTAATAGGACTCTCCCACGTGAGGGTGACTGCTTGTATAATCTCAGCGTTCAGGAAGGAAGACCCAGCAAGTTGCAAGTCTGCAGTACATGGCGAGCCTCTTGTCTAAAAGCAGCAGCAGTAGGAGTAACAGAAGCAGTAACAGAAATCAGTCATGAAATTGGGAGGGAGCTGAGAGATCTGGGTGTGTCTGAGAGGAATTAAAGAGATGATAAAAATGCACAGAATGAATTAATGTAATACCATGATAAGCAATTTAACAGGGGAGCAGCTTAATGTGTGACACTTTAACTCTTCCATTCAATCTCTATTATTTACCTTTTTGCTTGCCATTAAAATTTACTTTAAGATATCTTAAGCTGTTTTGCATTCATCTTTATCGTTAGTATTAAGTCTACATGATGTGGTCTGATGCTTTGGTTATTTCTATAGTACATTTTGTATCATCAATAAAATACCGACTCTTTGAGCAGACAAATATTCAGACCTGTGTCAGGAAAAGTTCACAGGAGTATAATTAGTTAGTCAAAGACTACAACAATTTGAAAGCTTAGGGTAAATATTGACCAAATGATCTTCATACCTATTATTCCTGCACCAAATTTGTTTATGATCTCACACATTCGCCCTGACACTGGGACTTATTATTTAGAAAGAAATTCTTGTCACCTTCAGAGATGAAAGCCACTACCTGATTATAATTTTTAATTGGTGTTTATTTGCTGACTTGTAGCCCTTCAGATTTTCCTCCTCTGGGAACTGTTTATGCCCTATGTCCATTCACCTACTAGGGCAGGCTTCCATATTTTATCTACATACTGCACTGAAAATGAAAGCATCGTTCAAGTGCTAAACTCAGTCTAAATCCCATTATGATACAAAGTAATTGAAGGTAGTTAATGCTATTTACAAATCATAGATCAGTTTTATTTCATCATGGAAATAAAAAGTTACATTCACAATTAAATCTGTCTGCTCAGTGGAACTCAGTCAAGTAAGACAAAACACTCCTAAATTTTGACTCTAAAAACCACTTGCATTCTTATGGCTGCAAAACACCATTCCAACCTCATTACAAAAGCACCTAATACATTTCAATGTCCGCTCCATTTATTACCTGCCGTAAAGGGGCTGCATATCTTTAGCACTGGTTATGCACAATTAGCACTTGGTGATTGTCTTGTCACTGTGGTCCTTACAAGACAAACTTCCTCAATGCAGGAAGTCAACTCATCTTCATCAGTCAAGCAGAGCTCACAGATGTGGTCCACCCTGAACACAGAAGGGTTCCAAGATGGAGATGCTCCTCTTCCACTGAACTTTGCTGTGGGGACACATGCAGTGTGGACATGTCCTGACAAAGCCTATGCAAAGCCTTGTCCCAACACTTTTGTTTTTCCCAGAAAAACAGAAAGGAAAGAGGTCATTCATGGGCATTTCCCCTTAAGCAAACTCTGCCAACATTTCAATTAATGGAATTATAGGAGTATATCAATTTTATTCAGTATTCACCTTAATTTTGTTTTTAAGTGTGTATTTATTGTATGGATTTATTTATCTTCACAGTCCAGGGGATTGAACCCAGATCCTCATACATTCTTGATAGGCACTCTACCACTGAACTATGCCCAAAGCCCTTTTTTTCCTTTTCGTTGGAGAGAAGGAACACTAAGTTTTTCAGTTTAGTTATGAAATCACTCTATAGCCTATACAGTTCTTGAACTTGGGATCCTTCTGCCTCATCTCCTCCACCGCCACCCCCAGTGATAAGCATGACAGACCTCTGCTGCTTGACCCCATTTTATCTAAACTTTTAAGTCAAAATATGAAGACCTAAAGCATTTCCAAATATTTTTAAAATGGTAGTAATAGGGGTGGTGAGAATTCTCATGAAATAAAGGTGAAGTGCATACCTCGGTAGCAAGAAGACCGGAATTAGATGCACAACACCTACATAAAAATTCATACGAGAGGCTGCACATTTGTAATCTTAGTGTTGGGGAAACAGGAATAGGTAGTCCCATGGAGCTTGTGGGCTTGCCCCTTTAGCTGAATCTGAGAACTCCAGAATCATGGGGAGACTATCATAAAAGAAAAGAAGGTCCAGCAAGACGGTTGAGTAGATAAAAACACTTACCACCAAGCTTGAGAATCTGAGTGTGATTCTCGAAATCCACAGCATAGACTTCCTTATGTTGTTCTCTGACCTCTACGCATGTACTTACATATAAACCCCCTAAAAAAAAGACTCCCATTTTTTTGTGAAATTGAAAGAACATTCCAAGGATTTCTTGATAGTAACAACAATAAATAATGAGGAGAGTACTACAGGACACCCAGTGTCCACCTCTGACTTCTATACATATTTGTAAAACCAGTAGATGAGCACACACACACACAAAAAGTAGTATGTATGCACACGAACATGTGCACACACATGAATTTGCACATGCATGTGCACACACAGAGAGACACAAAGCAGTAAGACTGGCATGTGCAGGTCTTTGCCTTTTCTAGCAATACATGATTAAAAACGTAGATCCTGTATTTTAACTATAAAAGTGTCTGCCTTTAAAAAGGGAGGAAACTGGGGTAAAAGTCATTCTGTAACTTAGTTTATGATCACAGCCAGGTCCCAAGCCCTGACACAGAGACTTCTTGTTAATTATGAAAGCTCAGTTGATAACTTAGGTTTGTTTCTAACTAGTTTTATAAATTAAATTAATCCATATCTCTTAACCTACATTCTTTCATGTGGCTCAGTTATCTTAACTTTATTTTGTAAAGCCCATCCAGCTCGTTCTGTGTCCCTGGTGTCTCTGCCCTTCTTCCCAGCATCCTCTCTGCCCTGAAAATCCTGCCTAGCTATTGGTCATTCAGCTTTTCCTTAAGCCAATCAGAATGACACATCTTCACAGCGTACAAAAAGATTATTCCACAGCATAATGACCTGGGAACAAAAGGGGG